TGTGAATTGCTATTAACTAGTACTCCAAATCCAGCTGCAAAGTGGAGACGATCCCACTGACACATACATACATGAAGTAATCTAAGGAGAAACCATCCACCCTGTCAATAACTAAAGATCAGTCCTACACAGAGTCCTTCATCTCAGAGACAAAGTAAATAATAAAAATTCACAAAACAAGTTCATAAATATTTCTAAGACGTGCAATGACATGAAGTAAGCTTACAACAGTACCTATATGTACCTAAAATATTCAACTTAAATGGCATGATCTAATAAAATAATAGGTGAAACATAACTTTCAAGAGAATTTTATGCTTAGATTCTATGATTAGAAGAGAACTTTCTAAAGGAAGGTAGAAATAGAGAACTAGAAAAAATAAGAAAATGACAAAAGGTTAAACATGCAATAATAGATATATTCTCTATTAGCATCAGGAAGGGGCTCAACTGGCAGTGAGGAAAATGAGAATTCATGCTATGATGTAGAAACTTAAAAACAATCTGGAATGGGGAAGAGAGGGAAAGCTAAAAAATAAATTTTAAATTAGAGAAAATAATAATTGGGATGTAGAATAGAGTGAAGCATATCAGTCAATATTGTGTCAAAACAAAATGAGAACAAACAAGCAGGCAAATAATTAGTCACAATTACTATAAAACCCCAAAAATATCTACAAGTGCCAATCAATATTTTCTGAACTATTAGATAAGAGATGCAGTAATAGCTGCTGTATACTGTATGTGACACAAGTTAAATCCTCAGTAAAGCACTAAATAGTAGACATTATCATTATAATAAGCATTTTATAAATGAAGAAAATGAGCTTCAACAACAAAGCAGGAAGAAGTTATCACCTAGGAAAAACTGGAATCAACAGACAAACAATTTACCAAATTTGTAAAAGCATCACTAAATAAGCAATGCAATGGCAATGGCCCATTTATATTTTCAGATTCAAGGAAAGAGACGACATTACAGGTGTCTACGCGGGATAAAAAACCAGTTTAAATAAACAGCATGTGTATGTACAGTAGTCCTCCCTTCTCTGTGGTTTCACTTTTTTCAGGTTCACCTTCTGTCCACCTTGGTCTGAAAAGATTTCAGTATTTTGAGAGAGAGCAAGAGGCCACATTCACATGACTTTTATTCTAGTATATTGTTATAACTGTTTTATTAATATTGTTAATCTCTTACTGTGCCTAATTTATAAATTGAACTTTATTAAAGGTATGTATGTATAGTGAAAAATAGCCTATATAGGGTTTGGTACTACCTATCGTTTCAGGTATTCCCTGGGAGCCTTGGAGTACATTTTCCTGGAATAAGGGGAGACTACTATATGTGCATGCGTATATACTTATTTGTATACATGTAAATAAACACATGTGTGTGTATGCAGTGACATAAGAATAATATAAATATCATATTTTACCAGAATTTTGAAGGCATGAATGTAATAAGTCAATAACTACAGGATTTTAAAGAAGAAATTCTATCTCATCTACTTTATATCTAGGTAAGATATCAACATATGCATAGGCAACAAAACATACTGCCAAATAATTAAAGGTTTGGACAACTACATACAACCCTAACAAACTGCTGGGAAGAGTACTGTAGTTTTCCCATTAAGTTAGTTAAGATTTCTTTTAAAAAAGATAAGTAGCAAAGAAATTACATTTTAAATTAGCATATATAAACCCACCATCTTAATATATGTAAACAATAACAAGTTAGTGTATTCAGGAAGAAAAGACTCATATATAAGAATAACATATAACACAATAACCAGAATTAAGCAGAGTAAGAAATGTGCAAAGTCTGTACCTTAAAACACTCCTGAAAGAGCACATATCAAAATTGAAGACTTGAAAAGATAGAGTATATTCTTGATTAGAAGACTCAACTCTGTAACTGAGGTTGGGATTACAATAAGGAGTAGGTCTGAGAAGTGGAAAAATCGGGATTCCATTTTGGTTGTGTTGAGTTTGACGTTTCAGGGAAGAGGCCCCTAGGCATTGGATAAGTGAGTGTGGAGCACTGTGGAGAGGTCAGCACAAAAGTTATGAATTGGAGCATTCTCAACATCTGTCACTTAGCAATAGTGTGTAAATGCAGGGAGGAAAGGAACCTAGAATAGAAACCTGAACCTTCTAACAGTTTACAGATTAATTGGAGAGTGAAAAGCCACCACAGAAGACTGAGACCAAACCAAATGGCCAGTGAAAAAAAGGAAAAGTAGGAGTGTGATATTCTAGAAGCCAAAGACAGTCAATTTGTTCAAAGAGGGAATATTCCTCCTGTATTCCCAGTGCCTGGCCCATGGTAAGAATTCAATAAGTATTTGTTAGATGAATTAAAGTATGAAAGGAGAAATGGAATTTTCCTAGAAAGATATCTTTTATAAAAGTATACTCACAAAGTAGAAGAAAAAACATTTTAATTTCATATGTGTGTATTATGCATATATGTAAACTAAAAAAAAATCCTAAATTTTAACTAAAAGTTCAAATCTATCTGTATTCTAAAACAGTAAGAGAATATGGCTGAATGTCTAATGGTACCAAATTCTCTGGTAAAATATTCAGCCAAAGGTGCCCTGAAATGCTGTAACAGAAATGAAAGTTATTAAGTGCTCATTGATAAAATATTGAACACTAAGTTTGCAAATAATATAGACTCATTGGTCTTAAGTATGGTCCTAAAGATCATTGAGTCTTCACCGCCTGTCTCTAAATGGGCCATCAGAACCTGCTCCCATACCCAGAATTAGTCTCTTCTTCCATCTTGCCACGAAACCCTCTTTCAGCAAATTACTGACTTCTAGAACATCAAACGATCCCTAGAGATCCTCAAACGACCACTTGGCTACCAGATAGCACACAGGACAGAAACTAGGCATGGGTTTCTTTCTTATTTTTAAGCATCTTCAGGGAGTTGTTGATAGAGTTAAAACTAGACTTAGCATTGTAACTACTTGGTTTCCCTTCGTGAGCAGTTTCAAAAGGTATAATTAATTTCATATATGCAGCCAGTAAAGTAATTTTCATAATATCAGCTACATTGTTAACCACATCAAATTGGGATCAGAATAGCCACCAGATTGATTCAATTTCCATGTGTACAATCTGCTATATATTCAGAACAATCATTAATGCTTTTTAACTCTTCTTGAAACCAGTACAGAGCCTTGTATTTTGTCTAAGGTGAATTATTTCATTCAAACCAACCAACCAACAAATCAGAAACTAATTTTTCAGCCTGTCATAAAAATGACTAAAGATACATGTATGTTCCTTCCTGAACACATTTGACTTTATCTCTTTAAAACACCTTCTAATGAATTTAAAAACTTCCTGAAAGGATTCAGTAAGCAAATAAAATCAGTTTTCCATATACATTATAGCTAAAATGAGATCACACAGGTAAATCATAAACAATGATTGTTTCTTACTAGCTTATGATATCTGTGAATATTTTTCTGGTTTCTCAGATTTTTAGTGAAGTACACCTTTGGTCTTGACCTTTCAGAAAAAAATATTCTTTTAAATCTACTTCACCCTCCGATCCTTAATAGTCTTTGCCAATCAGTAGTTTCCTCATTAGCCACGACTGTGTCAATCTACTTTTTAGGACTGTGATTATTTGTCTGGTTCTATAGTTTTAAAAAAACAGGCAAGCCACAGAGGTGAGGCTAAAATGTAAACTTGGTAAGACTGTAGCTTCCTTTCCTATTAATTATCTTCCCTTCTCTCCTGGTGATAATATGATGCTGGCAATAGTTGCTTTATCTTTACTTAATTGTTTTAGTACCATTTAACCTGCTACACTGAGTATTTTAAAAGGTCATGTAGCATATGAGCTGGGAGTGTATACAGGCCTTTGTGGAAAGAATCTGAGCTGCATCTTTTGATGGCATAGCTTTATAAAGTTAGCTTAAAACTAGAAAAAAGTAAAACCTTGCATCTTCATGTACTGCTAATTCTAAACCATTTTAAGGTGATAATCACCAGAGGCAGGAGCCAAAGCCATGCAAAATTCCTCTCTATTGATGGAAGGGTGTGTTACATACGTTAGCATATCACTGACTTTTTCTGCAGTCACTGTAATCCCAGTTTTTCACAGCTATTGTTTTTTGTTTTCTCAGAATCTTCCTTGAACAATACGCATCTTCTTTGAGACAGAGTCTCTCTGTCGCCCAGGCTGGAGTGCAGTGGCGCGATCTCGGCTCACTGCAACCTCTGCCTCCCAGGTTCAAGCCATTCTCTTGCCCCAGCCTCCCAGCATCTTATTTTCTTTCAGTGATGTGAATTGTTGGCCATGTGTGAACGTTTTTACATGATATTTTTAAAAAGTCATTAAATGCTTTGCATATGTAGGAACTTGTACTAGGCAATGCAGAGTGTGAACTCATAGAAATTGTTCCCTTACTTTGGAAATTAATTTTCTGCTGCAGAATAGACATAATGTCCAACACGGTGAACAACTTTATGACCTAAACAGAGCATTTCTCTCTCTCTCTGGCTCTCTCTCTCACATACACATCATGTAGGCATGATAAAAAATCAGGATTACAAATAAAGTACAGATTTCAAACTGCATTTAAGATGTAGTTAAGGCAAAGTTATGTTAATGAGATGTATGTGTCTGATAAAGGGAAAATTCATTAATTCATAAACACTTGCCATAAATTATATGTACAATTATTTTATGGACATGTATACAGCTGATCCAGTCTAAATGATCACCAATGGCCTGAATTAAATAATATATAATGTGGAATTAAGGATATGAAAAGTTGTACAAATATGCTAACTTTTTGTTAAATATGTTTTGACTACAATAAAATTCATATAAATTTTAAAAGCACAGTTCAAACTGAATTATAATTTTTTAGGAGGTTTGCTTGCATGGCATATTAAAACATCCCTGAGGAAACATATTTCTTAAAACCACAAAGAAAAAAGTTCTTGCAATGGAAAAATGATTGATTTACCTGGATCTTCTATAGTTAAGTTCTTTATCAACCATTGAACAATGTCTGAACCTAGAAAGAGAAAAAAAAAAACCACAAATAGATGTGAACATTTTGTTTATACATATTAACTTTAACAATTCTCCACCTTTGGTGTTCATATTAGAAGGAACTTTTCTAATTGTTACAATGACAAGTTAAAGATCTACCCTAGATGGAGTGCTGAAAACACAGAATGTGAATACTTAGCTGTCTTTCAATAAACCAATATGTAAACTAGTAAATTAATAAATATAAAATATTTAAATATAAATAAAATTTACTGTACTAGTAGAAAGTGATTTGTTTACTAAATATTTATTAAGCATCTACTATATTTCAGGTACAAATCTTAGTACAGCACAATCGGTACTTTATAGGATGGTTCCTGTCTCATTTCTGGTTGTACCCACCTCATTCTTGTATTGCCTTTCAAGCCAAACCAAATTTGTTTTTGGTTTTTGAGCCCTCCAATGTATTTCAAGCCTCTACGTCTCCATAACAGTATTCTCCCTGACTGAAATGTCTTCCCCCAATTTTTTTTTTTTTTTTTTAGACAGAGTCTCACACTGTTGCCCAGGCTGGAGTGCAGTGGCACAATCTCAGCTCACTGCAACCTCTGCCTCCAGAGTTCAAGTGATTCTCCTGCCTCAGCCTCCAGAATAGCTGGGATTACAGGCACCTGCCACCGTGCCCGGCTCATTTTTTTGTATTTTTAGTAGAGACGGGGGTTCACCATGTTGGCCAGGCTGGTCCCAAATGCCTGACCTTGAGATCCACCCACCTCAGCCTCCCAAAGTGTTGGGATTACAGGCGTGGGCCACTGCGCCTGGCCTGTCTTCTCACTATTTTTAAGACACTCAAGATTCACTGACATGACAGAACTTTCCTTGCCCCTTCCCCTTGTCCACTGAGTGTCCAACACTATCCATGAGGCCTTGCTGGAATCCACATAGTCTTTTACCATAGTGTTAATCGCACCATGCCCCAGCTGTTTATCTGATGAATGCCCCAAAGTAAGTACCTTGAAGCAGGGTGTCATATTCACCTTTGATTATTTGGAGCATAGTAAGTGCTTAACAATGTGTGACCAATACAAAATATGAGTGACTATGTTTTATTTCAAACAGAAGAGATGAGAGAGTCTGCAGAAAACATAACGTTTGAGCTAGATTCTGAAGAGTATACTTTTGTCTGTGAATAAGGGAGTAATTTAGTGGCTGAAGGGGTCTATGTAAAAATTTAAAAAAGGTGGAAAAACAATAATAGAAATCATTTACTACACACTGTCTATATGTAAGTGCTGGGAATAATACAAACTTGAAAGTAATAAAAGAGTGCACAGTGTATTCAGCAGGTCTTGAATTCTAAAGAATTAACTTTTTTTTCCATAAGGAAAGCGGGGAAAGAGACATGCAATATTTTTGAGCGGAAGAATGACATTACCAAAGTAAGTTTAAGGAACATGACTGGTAATATATGTGAAATGCTTCAGTAGTCAAAAAGAAGGCAAAGCAGTCAACATGTCTACTAGTTGCAATCCAAGACTGAATGGAAAATGTCTTAGTTCAGTGTACAAATGAACTTCTTTAAAATTACAGACTTGTTAGACTTTACGACTAAGTAGGTTTAAGGGTTACAAGTGGAGAGATTAAAAAATAAGTCAAAGTTTCTAGCCTAGAAGAATGGATGAATAGAACGGTGAAAATAAGAACAGAAATAGGCGATTTAGCGACTGCCTTGCTGGAGACATTCACTTGTATTTAAAATTGGTTTTCTGCTTAATTCTTTTCTACGTAAAATTGGAAAAATATATATGTGAATTATTTGCATACATAGTAAACTGTTTCATAGCTGCCTGAATTGAATGAAACTTCAATGTGAACCAAGATTCTATTTCAACCTCTCCTGGAACGTGATTAGAGTTGCCGTCTACCCACCTCAGAGATTTTGCAAATTAATCACATTAATATTGGCAAAATAATTCTAGCTGCTTGAATTAAATCAGTTCAAAATCAATTTAAGAATAAATCTGATTACTAAACTTGAAAATAAAGTCCCAAAAGTTATGAGAACATTCATACTCAATGTCACTTTCAATATGCATGCATTTAAAAAATAACTCCAAGCATTGGCTTGAACTTGTGTTCTTTTATAGCTGTTCCTTTTACAGCTGCCATTGATTAAACGCATTTGGGAAGGCAGATTCATCCAGATCCTAAGGGAAGTTATACTAAAACAGCTCTGAAGGTCTAAAGGAAAGGAGGTCATTCTCCAGAAGTCAGTTGACAGTGTCCCGGTATTGTGTTCATCTTTATAGGCTAAGTTATCTTGAAGCATTATCTTCCCTTTGAAAAAGAAAAGGAGAACTCAGCTTTTCACATATGTATGTGGTGATCCTTGACCAATGTTGAATCCTAGATACACAAATCTTCCGCACAATCCCCAGGCACACTGCTCATTTTTCAGAGCTGAGCATCTATTTGAGGAACATATGTGAGCAGCCACTGGAAATCTTCCATTCTTTTGAAGACAGCCAAACACTCATTCCAGGACTATATATGTTTTTTTATTGTGCAAAATGACTTTAAAAATGCTCTTAGAAACTGTTTTTTAAAAAATATTCTGTTCTGTTTTGCTTTCTTTCCTGTTTTCTTTTTTCTGAGCAGAAAGGAATACAAAGAAACCTAATTTAAAAGCATGTTTAATTCAGAGAAAAGAAAACTTTCTTTCGTAGCCTACTTGAGTATTTCTGTCACAAGTGTATTCTCCGTTCAGCTCTGAAGGAGTCAATTTAATTGGACTTGAGCAACTGTTAGTGTCACCTAGCAGATGCTGTAGTAGTTTTATTGTGTGATCACCCCAACATATTTATGGTTTTAGTCTGAAACATTATGGATTTTAAAATTGTTAAATTCATACCCAAACTCACCATGTTAACCTATGCTGCATCTATAAGAGTAAGACCTCAACTCCTTGAAGAGATAGGTAGAGAGAGAAAGAGGGAAAAAATCCAGTATCTTGTTGATTTAGTGAAACGTGCTCTTACAGAGTCATCTTGAGAAGCATGGCTGAAATTTAACGTGGGGTATTACAGCCAGAAGTATAGTAGGAATGCCACCTTTACAGCAATTTCCCAGCTTTATATTAAATAAATAAATAAATGGCTGGGTCCACTAATTTTTTTTTTACTCATAAAGTATATGTAGAATATGATAGTGTTCTTTTTTTTTTTGAATTTTTTTTTAACTTATCACTGTATTTATTTTTTTATAAAATGCATTTGCAAATATGTTTCATCAGACACGGGTGCTACAAAAATAAATATAAAACAAATATACATGTTTACATATGTTACTTATAACATAAATACACGATTTACATGTTCAAAAATTCCCAAATTTCAGCAGGTTCTGTCCATGATTCTCAACATGTCTGAGACATAGGGAAAACAATAAAAGCAGAAATATACCACATATCATTTATATTTTTGCTTTTAAAAGATTGTTGGATACAAATACATGAACATAATAAGTTTGGGGGTTATGATCTAAGAGCAAAGTCAGGTATACTATTTTATATCCACTCTATTTAGTAAGTGACTCAAGTTTCATTCTGCTTTGTTCTCTCAGAATACATCCTTTACAGTATAGGTTAAAATTCTTTCATAGAAAGGCTTTCTGAAGAAGTTAAATTAAAAAAAAATCATTTTACTTGAAAGCCAACAAAAAAGTTATTTATTAAACTTATATGTCTGAAAGGAGTTTTGATCAATGAAAATTAGGAGTTGAATTAGAAAACATCGAAAGGATGGAAGACAAACACTGTAATTTCTGTTTGATGTATTCTGGTAATTTTTCATTTTCTCCATACCTGGTTGTTTGACCATTTGGTGAGGTATAACTGATAGAAGACACTCCTGCCTGCACAACCAACTGGGACCCATCATTAAACTGAACCCACACAGCTCCGCTAGTTAACTGTGTAGTCCAACCAACATTTTTCGCAAAAACAGATTTCAAAAGTTGTGCTGATTTAGGTAGACAATCTTTTAGACTGTTAGAAGAGATGTCTGTTCCAGAAGCTGTAGCTGTAAGAGCAAGTCCTTCATTTGTAATCATAGAGGGATTAAGCATTGGTGCCTGCGATGGAGAAGCGGCACTATTCATGGCCATTCTATTGAAAGGTGTTCCATCTCTCGATGGGTAATTTGAATCCACAGAAGGAGGAGGTGATAAGGCCTTAGGTGAACTAGTACTACTAGGTTTTCTTCCTATGATTATTGGGAAAAAGGGAGCACTCCTCGTTTTCCTTTCCTCTTCTGAAATTATGGATTCCAGTGCTAAACAAATACGATGACCCTCGTTAGCATGGTCCATATACATTTTCATCTCTTCTTTCAAGCTATTAACTTCACTTTCACTTTTTAAAGTATAAGACTTCCCTGTCTTTTCAATCACCTGAATGAAATCTTTTGTTTTGTGTATTTTTGCCCCATCATAAAACCAAACCTCGAAATCAGCACCAGGAGAATTCTCCATCAAAATGCATTTAGCGTATCTTGCAAAATAAGTGATTTTGGGAGATTTAGATCTTACAAGCTGTACAAACCTGGAAGCATAGTGATATTTTCGCCAGTATTTTTCTGGTAAATTGTCAAAGCTGTACCTACTGATGTTGTCAGTAGGTGAGGGAGGTCTATCAGCAAGAGGAAAATCTCTTCCAACATTTGGATAATAAATAGTGATCGTATTTCCATCACTAGATATCTGAAGAACTTCTTTCACATATTCTTGAGATGCATACTCCTTTAGAAGCTCCACACACACCTCCTCTGAATCAAGTATGCTCACCACAGCCTTTTTGGTTTTCTGTCTGATTGGTTTTAATCTGTGAGCAATCAATGGAGATGTAATGCTTCTTAATGTACGATTCTGATAACCCAATGATAGCTCCATATCCCTAGTCTTGCTCTGTTCAGAAAGAGGATCTAAGGCAAAAACACATTCTTGTTGGATTATCCCAGGTTTACTGTGAAGTGCCATCATGTATTTCACGGTATTTGGCTGATTTACAGAATGTGCATCATCAGAAGCATGGGAGCTCTTTTTGACTTTTATATCAGTCCAGGCATTTTTTGATGTGTCCTTCTGCAAATCTGGATGGTCCTAGAAATCCTGGTTTGAGCTGATGCTGTCATATTCAGTAGTTTTTCTTAAGTGAGCATTTATTTGCAGATTCCCAAACCACTGTTGTACTGTTTCAGTCTGAGGTGTCAGGTCTGCAAATGGAAGAGGAGTTTTTCCTGGGCAAAGATGATTGGAGAGTGCTTGATTGTTACCAGGTTTTTCAAAAGATCCAGAACTGTTGGATATCTTCTCTTTAAAGAAGTTAAAGATGTTGCCATTGTTGTTTGTGGGCGAGTATCCTCTTCATTTTCATCTCCTCCTGATCTTTTGGACTTTGAAAGCATTTCTGCTGAGTGACATCGTTCCATTGTATATGTTTTTGCTCGAGACTGACTATTAGAAGTGCCAGATCTATCTATGATAGTGTTCTATTTGTCTTGATTTTGGAGTACTCAAGGTAACTTGTGAAGTTTTTTGAAATTCCACTTTGACTACAGCCTACGAAACATTTAACCCTGGTCAATGACCATACTCTGATTTTGGATTCTTAGAGGCATATATCACTTTTAGAGTTACAGAGCTTTGTGCTCCTCTACTTAGCAGAAGCCGTAGAGGTTTTAGTATCATCTGGTCCTAGCAGCATATTACTTAAAATGAAAACAAGCAAAAACAAACAAGCAGAATTCTTCTTCATCACACTGCTCATAGTTTTCTACCTGTGATACTGTTTCTTCCTTCCATGATTTTGCTAATGCTATTCCATCTTCATCTCTTTTTCCTGTGGTGAATCTCAACTGAGTCTACAAAATTCAATTCAAACATTACTTACTCCAGAAAGCCTGTTCTGCCTACTCCACCCTATCTTACTAGGTAAAGTGTTTCTTATTTATGTTCTATTAATATCTTTATCATTCTTTTTACTTATGCATGGTCTTACCATCCTGTCTTTATTTTTCTCTGTCTTCCCCTTGGCACTATAAGTTCCTTGAAAGCCAGGAGTATGCATTATTCATCTTTGGATTCCCAAACACCCAGACTAGTGCCTGCATGTAAAAGATGATCAGCAAATGTCAAAAGAATGGATGAATAAATAGCAAGACTGCCCTCCCCTTATTCTATCTTGAGAGAGTTTAAAAAGAATGGTATCCCTCATGCAAAGGATATTCTACTGGCATGTAATTTCAACATCAGTATTATTAAACATGATGTTACATTGACCTTAAACTTCAACAATATGTTCTCGCCCATGCCATGGACCTGAATGGCAAACGAACTTCCTTACGTTGACCCTGCGGAGTGGAAAGGACTGAACCAGGCCCTGTTCTAAGCCTGTCTTACTTCCATCACAGTCCACGCCCCCGGCCCCACAGATTAGCCCCCATCTTCAGCTACAGGTGTTGCCCACAGCTATTCACAAACTGAATCTGAATTAGAGGTTTGCAAAAATATTAAGCTTCCATGAAAAAAAAAAAGCAAAATATTTGTAAATATAAGCTATGAGGACTTTGTAAGCAAGCAAAATTCAGCTAAAGATATTAGTGAAAACTTTAGCTTTTAATCACCATAGAAGTTACACAAATGAATCCTGAGGCAAAGACGCTGATCTTTGCAGTGTTTCTCTTTCAGCGAAATGGATAGGCTCTTTGCACTGGCCAAATACCTTTGCCAACACAGTGCTGACAATACAAATATTGCTAATTCAGTGAACATCATAAATCGTCCTCCATGTTTTTGATGTTATAACTCTTCCCCTTCTCCTTCTTTTTGACAAGGTCTCACTTCACCTCACCCAGGTTCAACTTCCTAGGCTCAAGTAATGCCACCTGCCCCAACCTCCAAGAAGCTGAGATTACAGGTGCAAGCCACCATGCCTGGCATTTTTTATTTTTTAAATTTTTTAGAGCGATAGGGTATCACTATATTGCCCAGACTCGTCTTGAAATCCTGGCCTCAGGTGATCCTCCTGTTTCAGCCTCCCAAAGCACTGGGATTACATGGTGTGAGCAACCATGCTCAGCTAACTATTCTTAAAACCTCTCATTAAATAGAAGACTTTCTATACACTAAAATTCATTTTTCCAACATTATTCTTGGTTCCTTGAAGTAGGCACAATAAATGTTAATCATCATCAAATAGCATGTAATAAACAGCTATTGCATTTCTGTAGAAGTTTGGCTGAGGATCTGCAGTTTCAGGAACAAGAAAGAAGATTGTCAAGCGAAGCATTAACTGATCTGTCAGTCCCTTGAGAGAAGAAATGACATCATACTCACGTTCCCACTATTCTCTTCAAAGTGTCTCAACACAGATCATCGTTAAATGTTTACTGAAGGTATGACTCACTGTTTATAGACATATACTGTATACAGAAAGGACTCAAAATGCTGAAAAAGTCAGCTCTAACAGTGACTCCATCTATTATGTTATGACACTCCAGTGAATCTCTCATTATCTGTTTTATTTGTTTATTATATATTTTTTATTTTTTGAGATGGAGTCTCACTCTGTGACCCAGACTGGAATGCAGTGGCACGATCTTGGCTCACTGCAACCTCCACCTCCCGGGTTCAAGCAATTCTCTTGCCTCAACTCCTGAGTAGCTGGGACTACAGGTGCATGTCACCATGCCCAGCTATTTTTGTTGTATTTTTTAGTAGAGATGGGGTTTCACTGTGTTAGCCAGGATGGTCTTGATCTCCTGACCTCGTGATCTGTCTGCCTTGACCTCCCAAAGTGCTGGGATTGCAGGCATGAGCCACTGTACCTGGCCTCATTATCATAATCACAGTTTGAAATGGGATCAAACTTACGATAAAAAGCTCTTCTAATATTCCATAGCTAATAACACCCATGAAATCTCAAAGGTCAGTGGAAACAAAATAATCAAAACAGATATGTTTCCTTTCAGTAAATCTGAGATACATTTAAAGCATTTGCCTGCAAGACTTTAAAAATGTTGTTTAGCAGTCATTTAAATGCATTTGCAGATGTCATGGCAAAAAGCTAATTATCTAGCTGATTACATTTTCTTTCCATGTTGTGCGCTTTAGAGTTCTACACCCCTTGCTCTAAGTGCAGAGTCACAGAAAATGTTGGGTTTTGTTGATATAACCTGAATCTGCAAATCAACGGGATGGAAGCCCGATATTCATTGCAATTACTACTAGTGTGTTCCGGGGATAGGACAAGTAAAACTATATTTCCCTACCTTCTGGCAAGGTACAATGGAAACAAATTAGAGTTCTGGGGGTAGAGCTCTTTGGCGTTTCCTTGAGCAGACATTTCATCAAGATCATGGGAATTTAGCTAGATTTTTAATCTTTGTTGTGTAAATTCCAGAAATCATAAAAATATCTCTTTAGACACAGGCATTTTTGTCTCTTCAAAGCCTAAGAAGCTTTAAACACAGGCAGCAGAAACAGTGAAGCAGCTAAGACGACCATGGGGATAAAAGGTAATGGAGGCGACCCTCTGGATTGTTTCCGGCCCTCTACTGGAGCTCAGGTCATCAACTGGAGACGCTCTTCCCAAACAGCCTGCTGAGGAACATCACTTCCACCTCTTGTGTGGGATGGTGACAGTAGTGTGGGAAATGTGGAGTAAAGAGAGGGAGGGAAAATAGGGTTCCTTGATGTGCAGCCTTTATTTTGATAAAGAAAGTTGAAAAAAAATCAAGGGACGACTAAGTCCCCAGTGTTAGGGTGATCTTAGGATGGGGATATTGGATCCCTTTTAAAAGACCATTTTATATTTTTATGTTTTAATTCTATGGTTCTTTAGATTCAAAGAAAATAAGTAATAAATACATGTGTAAAATGTTCACATATAAGTATGAATTTTGGGTCTAATTCATAGCTACTATATTGGAACACATTAGAAGAAATTATTTATCAATCAATTAATCAATTCCATATGCTAGCTGGCAGGCATAAAGAAAAGCCTAGTTGATCATTCTTGCCCTCAACACGTACATTTTTTTTTTTCAGCTGCACACAGGCCATCTCTAACTAAACACCTCCAAGAAGGGCATATGAGATAAAGAAGATGTTTATTGATTAATAAGTAAAAAACCTCCTCTAGTAGAGACTACGCGGCTGCCATAGGAAGCGTAACACCTACTGGGTTTTTGTTGCATGATATGCTATCTTCGCACGTAAGTTTCCATTAAAATATCTACCATTTCTCAGAAATGAAATAACAAAACGTTTCATTTATTGCATAAATGCAATAAGTGAAATGTCCAGAACCGAAACAAGAACAGGTCACCCCAAGTGCATATTTAAATATACCTCTTCCTGAATGAAAAGTCTTCAATGGCCCTTTCACGGGCACCTAAAGAGCTTTCAAGAGCTTGACTTCTTTGCTCTTTCAGCTTCCCAACCATTTCTTCTTCTGAACTGTCTAACGTAAAGGCATCAACTTGACATTCTTCAGCTGTAGCATGATGCTTCATATGTTGTTGCCTTTACACATATTCTTTTTTTCTGGTTGGAATAAATTTCTCCATTTCAGACACAGCCCAAGTGTTACTTTCTCCTGGAAGTCATCTTAGTTACTGCCTTCCTCACCCTGCGTCCCACACTAAATTAAAGGTCCCTCCCCTAGGATTATAGCATTATGTCCATCCTTCTATCACATCTCTTAACACAGAGTCAATATTATCTACTGATGCACCACCAGACTGTTAACCACTTGGGGACTAGTACTGTATTATTCTTTTATTCATGGTTTAAAGGTTCTGAGTACAGAACCTGGTAGAGAGACTCAAGGACTAGTCAGGATTTTAATTGTATCTTTCAAAGACCTGACATAAAATATAGGATTCTTTAACTCACTGAGATCTTTTTGTATTTTAAATTAGTAATGGTATTCTTTAGGTGTCATTACTACCTAAATAAGCTTTATACTTTCAAAGTTATAAAATTAAAAAAAAAATTTTTTGAGACAGAGTCTCACTCTCTGCCACCCAGGCTGGAGTGCAATGGCACAATTTCAGCTCACTGCAACCTCTACCTCCTGGGTTCAAGAAATTCTCCTGCCTCAGCCTCCTGAGTAGCTAGAATTACAGGCACTTGCCACCACACCCAGCTAATTTTTGTATTTTTAGTAGAGACTTGGTTTCACCATATTGGCCAGGCTGGTCTCGAACTCCTGACCTCAAGGTTCTCCCCTCTTAGCTTCCCAAAGTGCTGGATTACAGGCATAAGCCATGGCACTTGGCAAGAATCTTTAATTTTACAAGAACACCTTGTAAAATAATCAGAAAATGTTTAATATAAAGTTTTCAATACCATTAAAAATAAATTTTGAACAGTATCTGTCATGATATTCATTTATACAGTCACACACATTTGTCTTTAACCCCTGGCAACCATTAATCCCCATTTCAAGAGAGTTATGCAAATGAAG